ATGGATTTTAATAAAATGATTTCTTATGGGAAAACAGAAAATTACAAACCATCTTATGTCAGTATTCCCTAGCATAAAGTTTTGAGAGATACATTAAAATCTCCAGATAAGAATGTTAATATACATATTTTTCATGATAAACAATGGTAAACATTTTGAAATCTTTTACTCATACTAAAAAGATATATTTTCAGGTAAGGCAGGGTTTCTTGCAACTATTGACATTTTGAACCAGACAATTCTTTGTTGTAGGGGTCTGTGCTGTATATCATAGCAGATAAAGGAGTATCCCTGGCCTCTACCCACAGATGCTAGTAGAACACCACCACTAATCTCACAGGCGACAATCAAAAACTGTCTTCAGACACTGCTAAATGTACCTACCCTGGCGGGCAAAATCAGCCTGTACTTAAAAGAATAGATCTAGGAATAATGTTACCTTTATTCTCCAAAAGAATGACTTTTTAAAAACATAATTATTTTCTTATACCGTACCTTTAATCATCTCTAGATTTTAAGAAATACATTGTTTTGGGGCTGAACACAGTGGCTCACACCTGTAATCTCAGCACTTTGGGAGGCTGAGGCAGGTGGATCACCTGAGGTCAGGAGTTTGAAACCAGCCTGGTCAACCTGGTGAAAACCCATCTCTACTAAAACACAAAAATTAGCCAGGTATGGTGGTGAACACCTGTAGTCTCAGCTATTTGAGAGGCTGAGGCAGGAGAATTGCTTGGGAGGTTAAGGTTTCAATGAGCCGAGATCACACCACTGCACTCCAGCCTGGGTGACAGAATGAGACTCCGTCTTAAAAAATGAACATAAAATGTTTAAAGATGTTTTTTGGAGTTTCATTGAGCACTACTGATTTAGTATTGTCTATCTTGCCTTTCCTCAACGAATCAAATTCTGTCATGCCTGAATTAGCCTGACTAATTTTATTAGCAAGTTCATATCCATTAATCATGCTAACTTACCTCAGTGTCAAGGAATTCCCTATGGCCCATAGTTTCTAAATATGTCACACTTTCTTTCAAGAATAGCTTGCACACTTAAGAAAGCTGGTGGAACACTTGTAAACACACCTGGAAGAAAAATAATTTTAATGCTGTTCGCCAAAGAGCATTAATTTCTTTCTGAAAAATGTTCCATCTTCTCTGGAGTGCTTGCAATTTGGACTATGAAAAATTAATAGAAAACTTATTGTGTAGGAGAACAAAAATACAGCACTTAAAGGTTTTCTTTTCTATCTAAAAATAGTGTCCACCAAAACGAAATCATAGGCTTTATTATATTCAGATGTCACTGTTAACCTTTATATTAAGAGATGGATAAAAAATTATTTATATAATAAGTAGTTTCTCTGACTTGTAAATAATACTTTCATAGAAAAATTTTCCATATCACAAGGTTGCTGTGAGAAAAAAATATTATAATAGATATGAATGGGTTATGAGAACCATGAGCACAGAGCATGCCACAGGAAAAGGGAATTATTGTTATGCACGTGGTTTTACATAGATGGTAGAGAAATGAGATATTAGTGTATTTTAGGTCCTTCCATAATGTTCATCATTATCACCACTATTTTCTTCAAAAAGATTTTAGTAAGGTTATCAATATCATATGTCTGTATTTTTATATATCATAGAATCAGGATGCTCACCCTAGAAATGCAATAAAAGAAAAGGTGTGAAGGATACTTGCTTCACCTCACCTATTCCCAGATGTAATATACTAACATATAAACATTTTCACTGGATAACTTCTATTGCAAGTTGGATACATTATTGCCTGAGTTTATAACCATGATATAATTTTCATTCAATATTTATTGAAAACAGAATGAGTTGTATAGCAAAGATTTCAACACATGGCATATAGCTCTTTCTCTGCAGGAAAGAAAACGGTTTCCAAAGAGAAAAAGGGAAAAGTCCACATGCACACACACACACGAGTCTAAGCAGGGATTACCCTTATTTACGTGATTTTCTCCTTTCTGTTCTCCTCCTACCACATGGAGTAAGTAAATTATAATAAATGCTACATATTAATATAGTATTTATCAGTTAGTATTATTTTGCCATTTTTTAAAGTTGAAAAATTAAACTCGTCTTTATTTATTGTGTCCAACATGATGTTTTCAAATATGTATTCATTGTGGAATGGCTAAATACAGCGAATTAACCAACGCATTAGGTCATATACTTCTCTTTTGTGGTAAGATTTACTCTTATCAATTTTCAAGACAGTCCCTTATACTTTATGATCATATGTTTTTAATCATTATTGAAAAGAATTGTGGAGCAAAGATTTTTGCCACAAATTTAACTGTGAGGAATCCTGTGTGGCACTCATAAGCATCTGGATGCTAATGAGGAATCACTATGAGCTGAAACATGTATTCCACTGTTGATCATGGCAAAATTTACAATATGACTGTGGCTGATATTTAATTTTCCTATACCGTCTGAATTATAAACAAGAACCCAACACCAAGACTTCAAATTCATCACAGACAATTGTTTATTTTCATGGCCAACAGAGTCCATCTGCCCACAGATTCTTTTATAAACATCTCTTTAAAAATATAAATGCTTATGAAAGTGAGCATATACACTCCTAGTATTTGGAAGTGTAATACTGATTTGTACATAGCAATTAAAAATTTTGAAGATAATTTATTTACTTATCACGTTATGATTTCTAAAGTACTTTAACCTTAATTTTCTCAACTGATGCTCACAACAGGCCAGTAAAATGCTATTTTTTTTTTCATTTTGGAAATGAGGCAAGTCATGGCTCACTCTTGTAATCCCAGCACTTTGGGTGGCTGAGGCCAGAGGAGCAGTTGAGGCCAGGAATTCAAGACCAGCCAAAGCAATACAGAAAGACCCTGTCTAAAAAAAAAGAAAAAGAAAAAAATTAGCCAGCTGTGGTGGTATATACCTGTAGTCCCAACTACTTAAAAGGCTGAGAGACAGGAGGATTCTTTGAGCCCAGGAGTCTGAGGCTGCTGTGAGCTAGGATGGTGCCACTGCGCCCCAGCCAGAATGGCCAAGTGAAACCGTCGCTTAAAAAAAAAAAAAGAGGCATCTTAGGAACAAGAGGTTATGTCAGTCTCTTATAATTAGGCTTACATGTGGTAGAGCTTAAAATCAAGCAGTTTTGCAGTCTAAGCCCAAACCTGCCCAATTCATATTCCTCCAAAAAGTCACAATGTTAAGAACTGGAAGAAGGTGCAAATGAGAATGGTAGTAACTGAGAAGAGAACTGTATGTAGCCTGGGGGTTATTTTTTTATATACATGAAGGTAAGGTTGAAGGAGGTTTTACATCTTTAAAGAGGATACTGTATGACTAATAGTAAAACGTGAATATCCTTGCCACTGAACAAGAAGCAATGTCTTTAAATTATTGCAAGGTGATTTCTGAGTAAATAGTATAATTGCTCTTCAATATGGTTAAAAGACCCTGGAATTAATTGTCCAGAATGAATATCATTTTATATTTTAAGACTTTTCAGAAATACATCAATATTCCTTTGGGAAGTCTATATGAAGTGCAGTTTTCCAGATGTCAGACATGATTCAAATTATTCTTTCTCCACAGTAGAATAGATTACAATGGTAGTACATGACATCGTGCAGGAGGTACACAGTGTGTTCTTACTAGTCACTAAGGCATTCACGAAGTCACTACGGCCATATGCATGCCTTAGAAAAAGTGAATTTTCTGTTTTTGTTATGTTGGGATTCATATCAAAGACTTTATGATTTTACAGCTGCCAATTTATTTTCCTTTTATGGGCAAATTTACTTTGTATTAACAGAGTTTTTAAAAATAAACAATAACTAAAGTACTATGATTATTATCACCATGTCTCTCCAGCAGCTCGAGCCATTTATACTGAGCCCAATCTTCCTGTCTCTAATTGCTAGGGGAAACCTAAGTAGAAAGAGAAAGTGCAGTGGGGTGTCCTCTGTAACACTTTGCACAAGATGAGGCAACAAACTTTCAAGATTAATCCCAACTCTTGAATTCAAACCACTTCATGGAATGAAACAGGAATGTATTAAGAGAGAAATATCAAATCGTGCCACCACTGAGATCAGTCTTCAGACCAAGTCAACGGCTCCATTTGTATGTGTCTCATAACTATTTTTCAGGACTCACCCATAGATAAGTTGTACTTCAAAGAAAAATCCAGATAAGGGCAAATTGATAACCTTTATGTGTCAAACAGAGCAGTATTTATTAAAAAATAATTTGTGGTTTGAAAAACACCCTTTCCTTTAAAGTGCATTCAGTTTCAGTTATTTATCAGGCATTCCTCTCCAGAACAGAATTCTAATATTCAGAGGTCAGTTTTCATGAACATAGATTCCTCTGCACAATTTCTCTTTATGACCTTCCCCATGACATTATTACCTTAACTTCAAACTTTAAAACTCAATTACAACTATTTGCTCTATATTGGTGGAAATGTTTATATATACATTCAAGTATAGTTCTAGTATTTTCATTATTTAGTTAGTTAGTTAGTTAATTAATTAATTCTTTTTTAGAGACAAGGTCTTACTCTGTCACCCAGGCTGGAATACAGTGTCATAATCCTAGCTCACTGCAGCTTCAGTATCCTGGGCTCAAGTGATCCTGCTAGATCAGCCGCTCAAGTAGCTGGAACTGCAGGCATGTGTCACCACACCCAACTAACTTTTACAAAATTATTTTTTGTAGAAATGGGGTCTTATTACATTGCATAGGCTGGTCTTGAACTCCTGGCTCAAAGGATTCTCCCTCCTTGGCCTCCCAAAGTGCTGGTATTACAGACATGATCCACTGTGCCAGACCCCTAGTACTTTAACCTATTGGTTACCTTATACCTGCAGGTGCAAATTTTAATATATTCAAATGTAATCTCTTACAGGACATTCCACCTGTTATCAAACCTTAGATGATAATAATAGTAAAACTCTTTTTTTTGGCTTTATTTCACAGGATTATACACTCACCATGTATTTCCAGCAGTCTTGGAAAGACAAAAGACTTTCTTATTCTGGAATCCCACTAAACCTCACCCTAGACAATAGGGTAGCTGACCAACTGTGGGTACCAGACACCTACTTTCTGAATGACAAGAAATCATTCGTGCATGGGGTCACAGTGAAAAATCGAATGATTCGACTGCATCCTGATGGAACAGTTCTCTATGGACTCCGGTAAATGGCTTTATGTTGCATGTTTCAATGTTGTTGTTTTTTTTTTTTTTTTTCATTTTCAACTTTTGGAAGTGGGCAAAGGGGAGAGAAGCAAGAATATACAGATGTATATATAAAGGGGGTGTCATATGCTTATGGAGGTCTATTACTAACCCTCATATGGTTAAGGGTCTTTTACTAACCCTCATGTAGTTAAAGGCTTATTACACATTGTAGGTAACACATCAAAATTAGCTACCAGTTTTACCAAAGAAATATCAGAACTGTAACCCGTTATTACAGGATATGTAAAGTGGAGATTCTTTATTCTTTGGTGTTACCTTTTGTGATTCTTTTGAGAAACAGATGAAACCTATATATCCACAAACTCATATATGCCTCAAATTTTTCTGTTATTTCAGTGTTCATAAGCCCCTTGAAATCCTTCCATGTATCATGAACACTAAGCTGAAACTCCAGTTATAGGTCAAAATACGACAATTAATGTCTTTAAATTCACCAATGCCCCAAAACAATACATAGATGAAAAAAATTTATCTGTGAAGAAATTTGTAATCATGCCCTAGTGGTTGGTTATTTAGTTGATAGCTTTGGTCTTCATTTGCATGGTAAAATAACATCAGTTGGTCTTGGCAAAATGATCTTTGAAATTTTTCCACTCTTACTGTACCCCAAGAACTTTCAACTTCAGTTAAAATCTCTGAGCTAAAAGTCTTTGGGAGAAATGGTAAAATAAACTAACAGCTCCCTTGAGTCTATTGATAGTTACAGCAGAAAAACCCCACTAATCCAAGATTGGTGGTTAATCATTAGTTATGGTTCATATACTATAAATCAATTGTAATTTTTCTGTTACTGATGTAACTTCCATCAGACATGCCCAATGTGTAAGGGAATGAATTACCCTTCTAAATTATTCTGGGAGAGTAATTTCATGACTCAATTTAATAGGCTAATCAACTATGACATGTGTAAGTATATGGATTAGTTAAGAATGTGTAAAAAGTTGACTAGTTGAAAAAAAAGGAACTAGATTTTTTTTTTGCAAGAAAGAATGTGGGTTACATTGTCATATTACAGAGACTCACTTCGGGCATTTCCCAAATTATTACCAGCACCTACCAATGGGAATAATACAAAGGAAGGAAAATATTTAAGGATCATGAAGTTGAATACATTTCATTTTACAACTGGGAAAAAAAAAAGAGACAGAAAAAGGAGAAGTATCATGTGTAAGAGAATAATAAGGTAATGGCAGAATTGGGAGTAAGATCCATGTATTCTGATTCCCATACCAATGCTTTTCCCACTCTACCACCATTCAAGTGCACTTAGAAGTCAACACCTATTTCCAAGTTGTACACCACTGTTTTAATCTCTTTGGAGCCAACCCAATTCTTTGTAGCTTGTAGATCTTTTCTAGCAAAAAGATCTTTCCAAAGATAAATACAAACCATTCATCTATTATCTGCATTCTGCTCTTTTTATGGCACCAATTTTCTTTGTTAGAGCCTCACACTAGTTCTCATAGCTTCCCTTTCTCTTCCTCTGTCTTTCCCACTTCCTCTTCCCTCGCAGATCTGGTTTTCCTTTCCCTAGAGGTTATAAATATCCTGGAAAGGCCATAAGGTATATCAGAGAAAGTATGACATCTAGAGTCAGAGGATCAAGGTTGGGCATAAACTCTACAATTTTCTGACTTCTTGACCTTCACTGATTTATGTAAATTTGTTGAGACTAATTTTATCACTGTAGTAAGGAGCTAATACTCCCTTACTCATTATTAATCATATGAATCAATGACTATGACAATACATAGTAAGTCCTAAATTACATTTCTCTAAAGTAGTTTTGCCTTATATAGCTTTATTAGGTACTGGACAAACTGCATACTGAGGTTGATTTTCTAACTCCTAGGGGTGTCAATAATTGAAATAGAGATAAAGTTGTTCAATTAAAATACACTTATCAAGTGCCTATTATGTACCACACAGTTGCTATTTTGGCTTTGAGAATAGTTTTCCAGAAGCTGGGTAGAAATTTGTCAGTGGACATAAAGCTGAATACAATAGATACTGGAGACTCCAAAAGTGGGGAGAAGGGGAGTGTGGCAAGTGTTGAAAAACTACCTCTTGAGTTCTATAATCATGATTTAGGTGACAGGTTTTACACCTCAGCATCATGCAATATAGTCATGTAACAAACCTGCACATGTACCTCTTGAATCTAAAATTTGAAAGAAGAAATTAAAATTAAAAAAGGAATTTGTCAGTGGAATGCACTTGGGACTTTGAGTCAAGAGACTTGTGGCCTAACCAGTTTGTGCCCTTCAGTAAGCCACTTCATCTCCCTGGGCTTCAGATCCACCAACCTTACAAAAAGTGATTGGACAAAATTATTCCTAAATTTCCTACTTGTGTCAGTCTGTTTACATATTGCTATAAAGATGTTACCCAAGACTGTGTAAATTACAAGCAAGAGAGGTTTCATTGACTCACAATTCTGCATGGTTGGGGAGGCCTCAGGAAACTTGCAATCATGGCAGAAGGGGATTTAGGCACATCTTACATGGTGGCAGGTGAAACAGAGAATACCAAGGAGGAGGAACCCCACACTTATCAGAAGAACAGATCTCATGAGAATTCATTAACTATGACAAGAACAGTATGGGGAAATCACCCCATGATCCAATCACCTCCCACACCCCAGCAGTCCCTCCCTTAACACCCTGGGATTACAATTTGGATTACAATTCAAGATGAGATTTGGGTGGGGGACAGAGAGCCAAACTGCATCACCTACTAAACCTAAATTCTATGGCTTCTGTGATACTACATATTAGGACATGCTCATTTTAATTCCCCAATGTAACATTTCCTAGTCTAATATATGACAATCTGCATTTTTTTAGATAAGAGCCCTTTAAAGAATATCTGTTATTTGCCACTTCCTAAGCACACATACTAGGATATCCTTATAATATAACATATGTATTGGCATATTTATAACTGTATTTATTTTAGGCATGAGTAATTAAGAGAATCAAACTTCTTGCCTTATTTCTTTCCATAAGTCCATACATTAACGAGTAGGTTTTAGAAATGATGGAATTAATGAGATTTTCTGAAGGCACTGGAAAGCCTTTGGCTAGGTATTCCATAATCTTTTTTTTTTAATCTTAAACACAGACATGTATTAGTTTTGGAGGCTACAAATAATGAGATCAAGGGATTAGGAGGGTTGTTGTCCTCTGAGGGCTGATAGGATCTATTCCATGATCTTAACAGCATATCATTAAACAAAATCAATTTTTGCTATATTAAAACTCAATAAACTCAATATGAGATGCTATAACTTAACTTATATGAAGCCGTAAGAATACAGCTAGTTGTTTTCTACTTTTATGAACTATGTCAAATGAGATTTTACACCAAAGGGTTGGCACATAGTCCTGTAAACACCATGAAATAACAGAATAATGTCTTGTGGGGGACTGGCACTTCTAGAGGAACTAGGCTACTATGCAACAGATATTCAGCCCTTGGGAGAGACTCCATTCTTTATGCCTTTTGCCCTTCAATTGCCCTCCTGTGACAAAATGCATTACACAAAGGAGAGTAACCAGCAACTTCTATTACTACCTCTTCCATTTAGTTGGGGAATCTACATAAAGAATGTTCATGATATGCTGTAAGTCGTGTTAGGAGACCAGAACCTTAGTCCATGTGCCATGAGCCATTCATCTTGGTTCTCTCAGAACACATGATGGATGTCATTTCCATTGTTACTCAAAAGCTGGAAACCATCATTCTTTGCAAACTGACACAAGAACAGAAAACCAAACACCATATGTTCTCACTCATAAGTGGGTGTTGAACAATGAGAACACATGGACACAGGGAGGGGAACATCACACACGGGGCCTGTCAGGGATCCAGGGGGGTAGGGGAGGGATAGGAGGGAGTGGGGGGATTGGGGAGGGATGACATTAGGAGAAATACCTGATATAGATGACGGGGAGATGGATGCAGTAAAACACCATGGCATGTGTATACTTATGTAACAAACCTGCAGGATCTGCATATGTACCCCAGAACTTAAAGTATAATTTTAAAAAGTGGAAACTGTACAATATCGTCTCCCTCTCTGTCACTTAAAATTCTTCTGTTTTTCCTCCCTTCCTTCCACTTAAATTTGGGGAGGATTTTTCTCTTTTTATTATGGCTAATCTCTCCAGGCCTCCATGTAATATTCTTGTTGCACACTTTTCAGAGTTTGCTCCCCCGTTTTACCTACCTCTTCAGCCCTTCCTCTCCATTGACTCCCTCATTTCAGTTTCTGCTTTGAGCACCAGTTTTCTCATGGCTTTGGTTTCTTCTACTTCCTCACAATACATTACTCTTCTATCCCCAACAACGTGGCTCCCATCTATGCTACTTCTCTAAAACAGCTCCATCAAACATTCCCAAAGCCATCACTAGTTTTGCAATCTATACTCTTGACTGCTCTGAATGTTTTAAGAGTAATGAATGACTCTGACTTTAGGGCTTCAAAGACCCAGCACAATTTTTAAATTATTTCGTTCTTATGTGTTTTTGTTATTTTATTATTGTCTCCTCTTTTGCCTCTAATTGGGGAACTATAGGGATTCTTCAAGGTTTGATCTGTTTGTTGAATTTAACATATGTAAATATTTAAACTCCCAAACTATTGAGTTTCAAAAATTTCCAATTGCTCACTGAGTGCCTGTATTTGGATTGCCTGCTACTCCTCCTCACATGACCTATATAGTTCACATCATTTGTTTTTCTCAAAAGTGGGCCTTTCCCAAGTGCTAATGAAATTACTATCATCCCATTAAAAAGACATAAACAGGAAGGCAACTGTAACTCCACATCTCTTTTGTCACTGAGATTTAATCTTTTGTTTCTATTCCACTCTATCTCAGTCACCTTCTCTATTTCCAAATAACTTCTACCACCTAAATTAACATCCTCACT